GATGAATGTGCTTTTGCCAGTGGTCCCAAAAACCAAATGAACCTGGAAATGGAAACTTTCTCAGAGGATGAGGAGGTCGCTTTTGACACATTCAGTGTTCCTGGTCTCAAGATGAGTGCAGGTGTGGAAGCTGGCTTAGTGGTTGAGCAAGAAACCACAAAAACAGAAAATATGTTGACGGGTTTCGAAGAAATCCTTGATTATTTTACTAACTATTTAGCTCAAGACGATTTACTTCAGTACCTCACTGAGGGCGAAACTGACAGCGAGGATGAACAATCCAGTGATGAATCCTATCCAGACTCTCTTCTAGATTTGATGTTCACACTGGATGAACTTAGTGTCTCCTCTGTGGATGAATTACAAGATGACACAGATTGTTTCTACACAGCAGACGACGATGAAAGCCCAATAAATTCTCTTCTTGATCCAACCATGTACTTCTGCAGGTTTTCCAACGACTTCAATAACTGTTGGATAAACGCCACATTGCAGAGTATTTTGAACCTGAGTATTACCAGAAGGTTCGTGGCTCAGAGTCCTGAAGAGATTTTTGGAGCTTTGTCAGGAGCTCCACTGTGTGCCAGCCTTTTCTATACAGCCATGCACCAGCCGGGAAAATACTTTTCCCCAGAAGAAATTATCCAAGTTCTGTTGGAAGTAATTGAAATTATAGATTCAGAAAACTTGATACAACACAACGACCTAACAAACTTTTTGTTAACTATTTTAAACTGGCTTAACCCATGTGGCATTAACTCACTTTGTGTGGTGTACACAGTTGCTGCTTGTGAAGGATGTCAGGAGTCTTATCAGGACATCTGGGAGCTCGGTCCCATTGTTCGTCTGCCAGTTCCTCTACCATATGACAGTACCACTTCTCTCCTTCACCGTTGGGCTTCTGAGATCTATGCAAAATGTTGTGACACCTGCTACTCCAACTTAAAGAGAAAATACTTCCTCAACCACACTGATGTGATAGCCCTGTATCTGAAACGGTCAGACAGCCAGGAGGATCTAAGACTTCCTGTGATTCCCAGTTTGACTATTGACATTCCTGTAAAAACTGGAACACTGTTGTACCGTCTGTCCTCGGTCATTTGCCACCAGTCTACAAGTTGTCTGCTTGGCCACTTTTACACATATCTGATGTGTGGAGAACTGGTGTATAAGGCTGAGGATGACCGGATAACAATTTCAGATGTAGATTGTGCACCTGACATTTGCCATAACGGGTTTATCTACATCTATGAGAAGTACACAGAAAGACATGATGAATTTAGTGTTGGGCTTAAGGTGACCACACCAACAAATACACCAACAATGACAGAACTTGGAAAGGACGTAAAAGCTTTGACCTCTCCCAACTCTCAAATAGATGAAACCGTCACAAAGAACGAACTTAGTGCCTGTTTTGAAGGGGAATAAATAAACATGGAAACCACAGCAAATATTACAAGTCCTGGAGAGCTGAATGAGACGTATTGTTACACCCATGACATTAGTGCGAAGGTCGGAAGTACAATGGAGGATAAAAAGGGCACTATAGGCGATGAAAGCAATGTCAGAACTGCAGAAAACCTAATGGATATTAATAGCTCTGGATATAAAAGTCTTGTGGTCCACCCAGATCTGAATGAATGAATAAAGAAATAAAGATAAAAAACAGAAAAAAAAAAAAAGCTAACAAATAAATATGATTGAGGCTCCAAGGTGGCGCAGTAAGGCCCCGGCTGGTCTGAGTCTCAGCTGGGGCCTTTCTGAGTTTGCATGTTCTCCCCGTGCATGCATGGGTTCTCTCCGGGTACTCCGGCTTCCTCCTGCAGTTCAAAAGCACGACTGTTAGGTTAATTTGCCACTCTTTATTGCCTTTGGGTGTGGATGTGTTCATGCTTTATTTTGTTTCATTAATTTCTTGGAGAAAAAAAATTATTTCTCAAAACAACAACAAAAAAAAAACAGTTTCAAAGTATGTGGCTTCTTTCTTGGAAATAAGAGAAAAACTAATATAAAAGAACAACAACACATATTAATTAAATAGCAAAAACAACCCTGTTCGAACCAATGAAAAAAGTGATTATGTCAGGGTTTGATTTGTAGATACTAGTTTTATTATTATTCTGTATTCTTTACTCTCTTTGATTGAATCAGCCTTGTTTCTGTTTCACCTTAGTTCTGTTTTTCTTAGTAATTCTAGTTTATTATTCTTTGTTTCTAGTTATTCATTGCTATGTTTAGATTTATTCTCTTAGTTTCCTTATTTGCTCTCTCTCCCCTCACACCTGCAACCAGTTAGCTAACCAGCCCAGGTCTATTGTTCCAGTTTTCATCATCACAGTATTTAAACACATCTCCTGCTCTCACTCCTTGGTGGTTCCTCCTGTTGTATCACGTTACATCCCAGGATCACCTTGTTGTTGTTGTTGTTGTTGTTGTTGTTGTTGTTGTTGTTGTTGTTGTTGTTGTTGTTCTGTCTGTCTGTCTGTCTGTCTTCTTCAAATCAGACAAAATTTGTCAATCAACTAAGACTATGTTTGTGCAGCAAAATGTGTTGTTTGTGCTGCTTTGGCTTTGAAGATATTGAAAGTTTAAAAGTCACTTTTATGAAAATCAAAATGACCTTTAAACTTTCATTAACATCTTAAAAGCCAAAGCAGCACAAACATTTTTTATTTTGCTGCTTAAATGTAGTCGAGTTGATTGACACCAATTTTGTCTGATTTCAAGAAAGTGGGGGCGGAGGGTGGTTGACCTTTCATTACCTCTGGAAACATTTCTTAATATCTTTAAAATGATAACGGCACAAACAAAAATTTTTGCTGCACAAACGCTTGACACCAATTTTGTCTGGTTTGAAGAAAGCTTGGGGCCAGCTTCACTCAGGTCCCTGAGTTCCCTGTGATTTTTGAAAGTTTTTGTTCATAATTTTTTATTAGAATTTCTTTCATCTACTTGCTGCTTCTGTTTCTCTGCATTGGGTCCACTTTAAAACCAATAAACCATGATGGATCATTTTGGTTTACTGCGAAAAGACTTCTTATATTGCAAAATAAAGAGAAGCAAAAAATGTAGCTAAGTAAAGAAAACAAAACAAAAATAACACAAGAACTAAACTTTTCATGAACATTAAAAACAACTGCTAAATGAGGTTAAGCGTTTCCTTTTTGGTACAGAGGCATATGTTGTATTCTGAGCCCTTATTGTTATGGTTTGTAAACATGGCCCCTGGCTTATAGCTTGGACAAGTGGCTCAATAAACAACCATGGGCTGATCTGGACAGACCTGGCAACATCCATTGCAAATGTATGGTTCCCAAAGACCAATGAGAGAACTCTTCAAAAACCACCATTTTAACAAAGTCCCTAATATTAAGAGAATAATAATCGTTAGATTCTGGCTCGTTATATTCTGGCTCGTTATATTCTCTTGTGCTCCCGGATTCTTTGATTCCATGCGTGGAAATAAAACCCACACAGAGTTAACATTCAGAGCTCCATGTCACACATTTTCAGAGTTTATTCTGACTGACATTTAAAAGTATAAAATCACATTGACAACACAGACATTTCAAACACACTAAAACAGACATTCATTTACCTGAGACAAATAGAAAAGAAGAAGAAAGAAAGAAAGAAAGAAAGAAAGAAAGAAAGAAAGAAAGAAAGAAAGAAAGAAAGAAAGAAGGAAAGAAAGAAAGAAAGAAAGAAAGGAAGAAAGAAGGGCAAAGACATCTTTGGAGAATTGCAAAAGCAAATCTGATTTGTTCCTCTGTGGCCCTTACTTTTATTTAAAAGGGTGTTCCCTTTGTTTTAATTTATGCAATTAAGGTGTGTTCTTCTTGTATGGATAGACCCAGTTTCAAATTACTCAGTTTGGGCAATTTTATTACCTTCTGAGACCTGTTTAATTTCAGGGCTACAGCGCTTTTCTATCTAGACAAGGGAGAGCAAAGGTCATTTAGACAAGCTCTTCTTATGCCAGTTTGAAATGTGATGTTACTCCTAACTCCTGGTTGGAACAAAGCCTCTAGTCTTCCTCCAGAGTTCAACTAAAAGCTAACCTGTCTTAAACCTATTTTATTCTCTGCCGGGAATTCCTATAAATACAGATCAGTGCAGTAATTTTAAATTGACATGAAGCCTGGTTCGCAAAGTGGTTCAGAACTTCTGCATCATCTTGGACTCCATGTAGTTGTTACTATAAAACTACAAATTAGACTACTTCAAGTCATGTTAATTTTAACTAACTGGTATTCTACTAATTTAATTGCAATTGTGTGTTGTTAATTTGTTTGTCCTTAAGTTTTAGTGTCTCTCTGAGGGAGATGACTTGAGATGTCTCCTCGCTCCCTGCTCATTTGAGACATGGCCTTTGTGCCAGTTAATTTATGACGTGGTTCCTTCCTGATAACAGACATTCTTCTCTGCAGGCCCTCTAAGATGTTATCTAAAGGACTCTTGCTTAATCCACTATTTTACATGTCGTAAGATTTAACTGTATTAAACACTAAGAATATTTATTTTCCTCAACACTAACCGCAGTCTGAAAAATAGTATTACGTAACTTGGGACAGGATACTTTTTTTTTTTTTTGGATACCTTTCTTAGTGAGAGTGAGATTCATCTAGGCATACTGAAAAAATGAAAAGGAAAATGAGTCCCTCTCTAAGAGCGAGTTTATCCGACTTGTATGTTTTTTTTTTACTAATATGTGAGAAATAAGAGCCACCCCATGCTGTCCAAAGTTGGGAACCCAATAAAGAGAGTAAAAATACGTAGACCTGTAGACGTGTAAATATTTTGAATGTTCGACAACAAAGGTGGTTATTACGAAATAGTTTAAAGAAACAGATGGCAGCGCCTTCATGAAGTCACAATCTCCACACTTCTTCAACAATCCTTGTCTTTAGTCTTAAAATAATGAAATTAAAAATCATACAGTTTTTAGTTTCATAGTGTTTAGGAGATCACCGTTCCTCTTTAAAAAAAAAATTACCGACTCCTATGTTTTCGAACGTTTCCATGATTTTTTTTTTCTTCTCACGAGATTTGGCAACTGTGTCCACTTCCTGTCACCAGCCGTTCGCAGCCATGATGGTGAGTTTCTTCTTTTCCTCGCCCTCTTTCTTGTTTTTGTGTAGTTTTTTAAGCTTGGTGGTGGCCCGCACCGTGATATACACTTGCAGTAATTCCTTTCAGCTCGAGCTGCGGTTAAAATAACTGTGTGTTTGTTTGTGTCTCTGCAGCAGGAAGGGCTGGACGACGGACCCGACTTCCTCTCCGAGGAGGACCGGGGAGTGAGTGCCCTCCTTCTGCCTGTCTGTCTTTGTACCAATGAATCTGTTCGCCTGCCCAACTATATGTTCCAGTATGCCCTTTGATAGACTTATTGTTCTTGTTCAACTCAGCTTAACCACTGAATTTTAATTAATAAATTTTAGCCTTGCTAGCCGTCCAGGCTAATGTTAGCTTCATGCTAACTGGTTTACCGTCTGTCAGTTGTGGTCAGACTGGTTACCACTGCCGAGAGTCAAAATAAAGACAGTGGCTGATGGGCCTCTAGCTTTACATGCTAACACAGCTAAAGAGATGGCTAACAGTTCGCTGGGGTGTTCGGTTCTTTTTTTTATTTTGAACTGACATGATCGGTTTGTGCTATCCTGTTCACAATCAGGCTGTCACATGACTTGACACACCTCTCCTCTTTGTGTTTCTTCTGTATTTTTTTTCGTTTTTACTTAAAAGAAGATCCTAGTATGTTGTCACTGGTTTACTTTTAAACATCATTGTCCAGCACAGTGGAAAATGTGCACCAGACACTTTACCTACTGTGGGAACGGATTCATTTTCCAGTGAAGTATATCTATAGACGTGGGATTTGGCCCCTATCTTAGCTTTTCCTAAAGCAGAAGTTCCAACTTCTGACCCACAAAATAAAAATGTAAGAGGCTCTTGACCCTGACTCTTTAGTTGAGACTTCAAGCATTTTGAGTCATTTAAAAAAATGGTATATTGATTACACAATCAGCATCAAGTCAAAAACAACAACAAAAAAGACGTGAATAAATAAAAATAGCATGTTGCTTAATATGTTATCTTTGCCAATCAACCTTATTTTAAAAGGGACCATGTACAGCTCAAACATAAATGTCACCATTCGATGCACTGTTTCAGATTCTAACAGAAGCTAATTTGACATAAGTTTTAAGAACTGGAAATGTGTAATGGTGACAAAACCTGACAATTTATTGTTTTATCCATGTTTTTCAAGGTGAAATAAGAGAAGTGCGTTTGTGAACCAGTCAAATTGAATTTTGTTGTTGTTCTTTTCTTTCATCCTGATTAAGTCTGTCGCAGTAAGCAATTAATCGCATAATAAATTTAAGATTGATCATTTCAATTCTTATGATTAATAGTTTTTGAAGGAAAATTTTATTTAGAGACTAGTTGTAAGTAGTGTGTACTTGTGTTTTGGTGTCATGTTCTACTTTGGATAGTTAGTGTTTTCCAGTTCTAGTGTGACGTTTTCTTTACAAAATTAAAGTTTATTTGTCTTTGACAGGGGGTATTTGCATTATTGTGCCATTGTCAATACTTTACTTTGAAATGGTCTCAAAACTAATATAAACTCAAAAATATTATCGTTTATTGCAATAACTTCTGGGACAATTTATCATCCAGCAAAATTTGTGTCAGGATGTTAAACTTGATGAAATGGCTAATACTGTTTTTTTTTGTTTATGTTCACCAAAAAGTGTTTGCAATTTGTTTTTTCATATTTTAATCAAGAAATATCAGCAGTAAAAGATGGCATGTGGGTTGTAGCCACAAACTCCCAGTTTGATGCAGGTGGATCTCAGGGCTCTGTACCTCTCAGCCTTCAGGTTGACCCGACAGTCGTGGTTTTGTATGCTTTGTGTCGTCCTGCAGCCGCGAGCGGTAAATGTGGATCTGGAGATGGACGCCACGCTACAGGTGGACATTTCTGACGCGCTCAGTGAGAGGGACAAGGTGAAGTTTACCGTCCACACCAAGGTGAGACGCACATCATTTTATTCCCTCACCCTCACTCCCCTGCAGTGGCTGCTTGATTGTGTCAGGATAAGTCATGCGCTCCATGTTTCCACAGAGTACGCTCCCCAACTTCAAACAGAACGAGTTCTCTGTGGTCCGACAACATGAAGAGTTCATCTGGCTACACGACTCATTTGTTGAAAATGAAGACTATGCAGGATACATCGTAAGAACCACACACATTCAAACGGATGCGCTGACTTTGTTCAAATAGTGTTTAAACATCCAGTTTAACTGATTGTAGCAAATAGAGCTATTTATCAGTGTCTTGTCTTGTGTTTGGCAGATCCCTCCAGCCCCCCCCAGACCTGACTTTGATGCATCCAGAGAGAAGCTGCAGAAACTGGGGGAAGGAGAAGGATCCATGACCAAGGAGGAGTTCACCAAGATGAAGCAAGAGCTGGAGGCGTAAGTCACACACCTTCTCTGCATAGTCGCACGTACTAAAGGGGCAGTGTTATGTAAAATCAACTTTTCTGAACTTGGCATAATGTTATAATGTTATTCCCATAAAAACATACCTGGAGTGTCGCCTTTATTCTTTTGTGCATGATTGAGAAATCATGCATGTTTTCTCATGCATGATTGCATTCAGCTAAAACCCCTCAGACATGCAGTTTCCAAGCTTCTCAGCTTCCGCCCCACAGAGCAGCCCTCCCCAGTCACACCTGTCTCTCAGCTCCTTCAGACTAGCCAGCAGAAATGAGCAAACACCTGGTGGAACTGTGTATCTGCTACGGTGATTATATGAGCTACTTCTCAGGACAACGCTGGTATAAACATTGTTAAAGGGTTAATAAAGCAGCCATGTTTGATGACTTCCTGAAGGTGGAGTTTCAGAAAGAACAGGCGCTTCTTAAAGAGACAGAGACCCAATCTCAAAGTCTTTTAAGTTGTATTTGATATATACATTTTTTTAACAATGGAATATAACATGGTGGCTTGATTGTGATTATGAAATGGCACAGTGTGCCTGGAAAATACATAATACTGCCCTTTAAAACATGTACCTGACTGGTGTGTTTTCATCCAGAGAGTACCTGGCTATCTTTAAGAAGACCGTTGCCATGCATGAGGTCTTCCTCTGTCGTGTGGCTGCTCATCCCATCCTCAGGAAGGACCTCAATTTCCACGTCTTCTTGGAGTACAACCAGGATGTGAGTGTCAGGCACAGCTTGTACAGTGAATACTCTTAATAGGTACTAATATTTCAGAGTTGATTTATAAGCAGTAATGGGACAAGTCAGGAATAGCTGAGAAAATCCATGGCGATGCAGTGTGTGTGATCACCACCATGTTGTCCCTGACAGCTGAGTGTACGAGGAAAGAACAAGAAGGAGAAACTGGAGGATTTCTTTAAGAACGTTGTGAAGTCGGCTGATGGTGTTCTAGTGGCTGGAGTCAAGGTAAAACCAGAAGTAGAGCTCACTCCTCTTAGCTGCCTCTCATGCTCTCATGTTTGGCTTTTTATGGAAGCGTGTCGTCTCCTGCTTGTCTTTCAGGACGTCGATGATTTCTTTGAGCATGAAAAGACATTTCTACTAGAATATCACAACAGAGTCAAAGACGCTTCGGCCAAATGTGACAGAATGATCCGCTCACATAAAAGTAAGCTCGAGCCATGCAAAATCATTTAGTCATTTAGAAGTTTTCTAGATGATTGCTTCATGTTTCCATATTACTCTTTTGACCTCACCTTGGTTCTGCTGACTCCTTGAAATGTGTTAATGTGTTTTTCCACCAGTTCTTGTTTGTTCCTAGCCTTGAAAACATTGAATTAAACTGAAACTCAGGTGGTTATTTTATGGCATCTATTTTAAAGGAATATTGACATAAATATTATTTGTGTAGTTAAATTGTCCAGGCACTAACAACCTTAACAAAATCGCAGAATAAAACTGAAGGAGGATCAAACAGTAAATGAATGTGACCTTTATAATGACTAGGCGCTAGTACCAGCTGCAGTTAAGAAACTGTAAGCTCCATGGTGGAAACATCCACCTAGAAAACCAAAAAACATCTATTAGTGTTTTGTTGATGATGTTTTCCTGGCAGAGAGAGCAGGTTGAAATGCTGTCAGTGTGTTTGTGCTGTGATCGCTGTCTGATGAGTATCTCTGCCCGTTTAGATGCTGCTGATGACATGAACAGAATCGCCTCCTCTCTGTACACATTAGGAACACAGGACTCCACAGACCTCTGCAAGTATGGACAAAGCTATTTCAGGGCTCAAACAATTAAGTGGATTAATCCTGATTAATCAATTGTTGAAATAATCGTCAACAGATTTAGTAATTGATTAATCAAAAAAGGCAATTTGGTGAAAGCCCCCATAGAACATATTTAGAGCAGTAATTAAGTCAAAATTTTACAAAAAAAAAATTTACATTTTGCATTTAAGATAAAAACACCTCTGTCTGCAAATGTGTTTTAGCCAAAACTCCTGAGGTGGCGTGGTTTTAACTCCACCTGGATCTGATTTACTACAGGAATGCTGCATTAACGCATTTCAGGCAATAAAATGTTTTTCTTATCTAAAGAAGGAATTTTGCATCTTTTAATGTATTTCTAGTATTGTATACAAAAGACTTGCGTGGATAAATGTGTAGAATGTGCCAAAATTTTTATCTGATTAATCATCATAATAATTCATATATCAATTAAGATGAACGTTTTTGATGACACGCCTTCTTGCAGTTAAACATGACGCCTACTGCAGAGGCGTTTGTTCAGTTATGTTTTATTCCTTTAACTTGAGCTGTTTTAATGAAATCACATACACAACCATCCACACCCAGTTGATTTTTCAACATTTTCTGTTGCTAGAGAAAAATGTGCATCTGGATGGAAAATGGAAGATGAATTTTCTAATTCCACAATGAAATCATATCCTGACGTACCTTCTTCACATTTATATTCTGGGGGCGTCAGAATGTAACCAGCATAATGTCCCTCTGTTTTTCTTTCCTTAAGGTTTTTCCTGAAGGTATCAGAGCTATTTGAGAAAACTAGAGTAAGTGTGTCTTCATTTCCTCTCATTTCTGATCCTGGTTAAATGAGGCGTTAACATGGCCACTTGTAGGCTTGATTACAGTTGACAAGAAGTTCAGTGTGATAAAGGTTTAGTTGGAGGTCATTCGTCCTGAGGCCATGTGGTTGTTGGGTGGGAATGATGGATAGAGCTGGGTGTCATCAGCATGGCAGTGGCATGTAGCAATAGGCCTGTCATAATAAATAATAAATCAATTAATTGCATGATAAACTAAAGAAAACTCATTTACTTGATTCATCGTTTTTCTCTTTTCTTTCTCTTTTTACCAAAACTGGTCTTCAGTCTGGTGCTTTGGTTTCAATTTTTCCTTTTTTGAAAGACAATTTTGTCTACAGAGACTTCAGAATTCATTTTATTTGTTGTTTCTGTTGTTTAGTTTATATATTTTGGATATTTAAAATGTCTTCCAGTTCTAATGTTTAAATGTTCATCAAAATTTAAAGTTTATTAATCTTTGAGACTGTGTTCTTGCATTATTCTTCCATCGTTACTATCATATTAGTTGAAAGTTGTCTCAAAACAACAATATTATCGTTTATGGCAACAAGCTTTGGGAAAATGTGTTATTGTGACAGGCCTATGTAGCAATGAAATTTTTGTAGCTTTACTCCTGTGAAACATCTGAATCTTTTAAGCTCTACATATCTAAGATCATTACACAACACTCGCCTCGTGTGTGTTTTGAGGTGACAAGCAAATAACAAAAAAATTTACTTTTATAACTTGGATGTAGAATAATAGTAAAGGTAATCACTGAAACATTACTGGGAATGAATTTTTCAATGCTACTTAGAACTTTAAGAATAGTTAAACCCAGAATATGTAATAGTAATAAGCGCTGCTGTGAACGGGACCTTTACCTCAAAGTCTTTTTCCTGAAACTGATTGTTTCTGTTTTGGTTTTTGCCTTAAAGAAAATTGAGGCTCGAGTTGCAGCAGATGAAGACCTGAAGCTGGCTGACCTGCTCAAATATTACCTGAGGGAGTCACAGGCTGCTAAGGTCTGAACACATACTGACAGATGAGTCACCAATAATGAGCCAGCTGAGTGAAAGTATTGATTTTCCATGTGCCACTCTGGACAGGACCTGCTGTACCGGAGGAGCCGGGGCCTGGTGGACTATGAGAACGCTAATAAAGCTCTGGATAAAGCGCGAGCTAAAAACAGAGATGTTTTACAGGCAGAGACAAACCAGCAGCTTTGCTGCCACAAGTTTGAGAAGATCTCTGAGTCTGCCAAGCAAGGTCAGTCACTGCTTTAGTGTGAATTATTGTCAATTATCTTGTTAGAAACTCTAACAATGCATCTCCTTCTGAACGTAGAGCTGATAGATTTCAAGACGAGAAGAGTGGCAGCTTTCAGGAAGAACCTGGTGGAGCTGGCAGAGCTGGAGCTCAAACATGCCAAGGTACCGACGTCACTCTGTGGTCAACTTCCAACAAAGAGTGTGGAGGAGAGTCTATGGGTTAGAGTTAGGGTCATTATTGGTCCAGTTTTGGGTTCCCTAAGGGAAAAACCCTGATGTTTTATGGTTAGATGAGACAGATATTTTTATTTCCTTCCTTTGTCACTGCCACAACAGACTGAATTGTGTTTTTTATGGACTACTTGTCTGCTTGTCTCTAGGGTAACCTGCAGCTACTGCAGAGCTGTGTGGGCGTCCTGAAAGGTAACACTTAACCGTCCTGTCCTGCCTGCAGCCAGCTGGACACGCCCACTGTTAGGACGGAGCCTGTAAGAATGGACAAAACACTGAGACATGTGGACCAGAGAGACAGCTGGGGGTCAAAAATGACACGAAGTCTGTTTTCTTCATCAGTAACCAAACACAGTCTTCACCACTCTACTCACTATTCCTAAAGCCACCCATGCTTGTCCTTCTGGTTCATCATCAGAACCTCAGCACCGGCACTGGTCCTCTTGGCCGAATGCAAGCCCTGCAACACTTTTAGCGTGCTTTCATTCTAGTCTATCACTTTAGGTATTTACTTGATTTCTCCTGAACATCCATCATTTGAAAGTCTTTATCATCACCCAGAGAACAAATCCAGTCCATCTGGGCTCTGCAGTCTGGATGTAGTTCAGCTCTCAGCTGTAGTTGGACATGTATTAGTAGTTGTGCTGAGTTTAAGCACCGTTCGAAGAACTCTTTTAAATACTCTACTTGAAATAAATTCACCATATAATCTACAGATAAATGCAATGAGATGACAAATATGATTCGCTGATGTGTTCCATAATTATCCACACTATAAAACAACCTGATGCAGTATATAAAGTTACATGAACGCCACTCGAAGGTTGATGGTGAAAGCAGCATGTTGGTCTGTACTAAATGCCTCCAGTTTGTCAAATAACCATCAACTTACTAACCCAACAGTGTCTAAAGATGGCACACGGAAGTATTTTAAGTGAATCAAAACAATAATTGATAAGAAAACATATCAACTAATACAGCAAACATCATTATAGGAACACAAATATGAACTATTTTTAGCTTCTCACTCTTCTTCCACTTCTGCCAGAGTTTTCTCCTTACTGACGTCACATATCTCGGTTGATAAATGTGTGTGTTACGCCGGGACGGTTTATCCATTTACAAAATTATTGGGAAGCAAATCAGCAAAAAGACGAAACTACTTAAACCCTGAAATGTTTCTGTTTTTGTATTATTTTACAGACAATAAGTTTGCTTGTTACCCATCATGTCCCCGTCTACATCTTCCTCCTCTGTTGTTTTGGTGACGCTTGTATGTCTGGATCTGTTTTAACGTGTTACTGCTGGTGTGTGCAGGTGGAAGCCGGCTCTTGGTTCCTGTTCTAGTTTAAGTGTCATTTAAAAGGAAAAAAAAAAAAACTATAAAAATTTACTTGTACTTGTTTGTATTAACCAATGAATGCTAATCGTCTGTTGCTTCGGTTTGTTTTCCATTCCAGTCGATGGTGGAGCTTCAGTCTTTTTGCCTTAATGTCAGTCGTTCAGTTTAACTTTATTTTTCAAAAAAAAAAATGAGAGAAAACTACATAAGATATGTTTCTGTTTTTTTTTTTTTTTTTTTCAACTTTACTGTATATGAATGTTTTTTCACTCTTATGTGACCAAAGCTTCCATTACCGATTAAAAACGTACAATTAAAAATGGAGGTGTGATGAAACAGAAAAGATTTAAATGAATGATTTTGAAATTCACATTATTTTATTTGTTTAATCTTCAGCAGGTCTGTAATCCACCCTGGTCATCCTGAGATTCAATAAAACTTTATGGACACTTTTCTTACAAGTGCTGGGTTTATATGATTTTCTAAAGACACATAATACCTGGCTGTTTGGTAGTGAAATCTTCCAATCTAGTTTGTGATGTATGTAAACAAATGTGTAATTTTTTTCACCCACAAAACATGGCCAGGTAGTTTGCAAACCTAGATTGTGATATGAATGCTGTTTTTAAACATTATGGCTTCAGTTTTTTTGCTAAAGTAATAAACTGATCATAAAGAGACTAATTTAGCACAAAGAGCTTTTTTAGTTTGAAAGCACAATACAACAAAAACCTTAAATGTTCTACCACACATGATTGGCTAACTTAATTTCTTTATAGCACATTGAAGCTGCAGAAGAGATCATCTGAATTTACTTAAGGTTGCTATAGAAATGGATGTTCCTTAAGTCATTGCCTTGTGTTATCCTCCCTCACGTATGTGTGCAGCCGACATTGCATAGCAACAAGAGATGGAGGAAATCACAGCTGAGCATGCTGCAGTTCAAAGAAAGTTTCTTGATCATGAATAACAGTAACACTTTATTTGAAGGGGGTTGAATAAGACTGTCATGACACTGTCATAAACATGACATAACACCTGTCATGAACATCAATAAGTCTTCATGAATAGTTATGACTGTTGTCATAAAGCGTCATTCGGTAAATACACTTTTAATA